CGAAACAGGTGATGGTTTCGAATTGTGTGCCTTCGGGACTGCAGTGTAGCTTCCTGCTACTAGGCCACGAGAAATAAAAGGCCTAAAGTGATTGGAACTTATGAAATGTTGGTCAGTGTATTAAGTAATGAAGTCAGCCTTCTGCTTTGGAATGTTGAAGAGGATAGAGATGCTAGAAGGAAAACAGATGCGTTTAAAAGGCAGTACCTCAGAATATCACTAGGAGTCATGGGCTAGTGTCTACCTTTGCAGGATATTAAGAGATCTTTGCTTGCATAGAAAAGCCTGAACTTCTGTTTCCCTGTGCTTACTTAGCAGGAGAAAAAACCTCAAGTTAAGGGGTACAGAGGTGGTATTTTCTGGGTGATCAGATCTACTCCAGCTACACAGGGGAGCTCTGAAGGCCTAGTGATAAGAGGCAGCTGCTCTTCAGGAAGCTGGACAAGCTCCTTTAAGACTTAGTGCCTCAGAAAAACTGCCGAGTCAGCTAGGAGTCGGATCCTACTCAACGGCACAAAACAAGTTATCTACTGGCTAATGCTGAAAAGAACGGGAATCCCGAACCCTTAATTGTGCTCATGCAAAACCTATGCTTAGATCAACAGGCTGCTGTCAGAGCAGAGCAGGAAACACTGCATGTTTTAAAATCAAGCAGTTTGTGACAGGGCTGTGCCTAGACCTACTCAATCTGTATGCAGAGCAAATCATTTGAGGATCTACTTTAAGAAGGTGGCATCAGATTCACTCAACAACCTGTGTCTTGCAGATGACACAACCCTGCTTGTTAAAAGCAAACAGGACTTGAAATGCTTGATGTAGATCAAAACTTTCAATATGGATTACATTTCAAAATAAAAATGACACAAATCCTCACCACTGGACCAATAGGCAACATTATGATAAATGTGGAGGGGGGGCAATAAAAGTTGTCAATTTCATCTTGCTTGCCTTGTGTAAAGCTGCTGTCAAGGACCTAAGGTGTTAAAATCACTATCAGTTTAAAAAAGTAAAATGTGCCTGATTAAAGGTATCTTCCCTCCACCCAATTACTTAGTACACATCTGAAAGTTGGACAATGAGATCCTTAGAAAAAGCCATCATACTTGGAAAGGTGGAGTCAGTGAAAGAGAAGAATCTGAACAAGATGGGGACAGTGCAGGGCAGAGTAGGGCTCAGGTCTGTTCACAGGGTGGACAGGAGCCTTGGGTGATTTGCCTCACCTACCAAGAAGTCTCTGTTGGGGAGTTTTCAGACAAGGTGGGGTTTAGAGCTCTGGAGACCCAGATGCTAAACTACACTTCAATTCCAACAACATGCTGCTCAAATCTGCCAGCTGCTCTGCAAAGGACAATCTCCATGAGATTTACAGCCTCTGAGATCCCACTGAAGGGTCAGCTGCAGGTTGGCCCTTGCTCAATGGCACACAATATGGCTGAAGTCTGTGAGACAAAAGCTTTGCCATCTTTGCCTCCCAGGAGCACACTGGCTGTATTTCCGCCAGATGAGGTGAGCTTTCCCTCACCCTTTTTTCAGAATTGAGACAAACCTACACTTCATGTAGTTAAGGTCCTTTCATCACTCTTTTTCATGTATCATTAACTACCTTTGAATGTTTGCCATCTTTGTCAATTTTGTCATTTAAAAAGAGATAAAGTGGTCTTTATATTTTAGTACTGTTGAGCTCTTATAATCACCTCGAGATTTCTATTTAGATAATTTGTAAACTCTGTAGAAAAGGGTAAGAGAGGAAAACATGGGGAACTTGGCATGCCAGGCAGATTGACTGGGGTGTGTGTGAAGGGTCAAGATGCTGCCTTTGCTATGGAGAAACTGAGGTCCTGAGTTTAAGACATTCAACTAGTGGCTACGGTGATGCTCTACCAAGAGTCTCAGTCCCGGACTGTAACACCCATTCCGAGTTGTTCTCAGCACTCTTCTTCATTCTTTGGGGCCTACTTCAGTAGGCACAACAGTATGAGCATGCCTGAATGCAACCCTTCTCAATATTTCAGTGGTTCTACTCCTAGCATTCCATCTTGTCCCGAACTGCAGTTCCCTGAGAACAAACTCCTTGCTCACAATTACACCTTCCTGCTGTGACTGATACAAGTTCTAGCACTTTCATCTCAGTTTGGTTCAAGTCTAAAGGGCCAGAACTCTCCAGAGGAGTCAGTATAATGGAGCAGTTTCTCCCTAGCCACCCTGCAACTCTATATCCCATCAGCACCAGTAACTTTTCTACATTAAATGCAGAAACTTAATCCTAGGTTTGCATCCTGGAACGCCAACTCACTAGAATTGTTTAAATGTCAATCCTTGGAGGTCTTTCTACATTATCAGGTCTGCAGCTGGTGAAGCTGTCTTTTGGGTTAGAGGAAGAAGCCAGTATGAGGGCATAATTTTGACTGTGACACATTAGATGGCAATTGTCTTAGCTACACTTTTGGTATTTGGGAGAACACATAAAGGCCATTTAAATTATTGACTAATAGTAAATACAAGCTTTAACTCATATCAAAACTAGCTTTAGAACTACAAAAACGGCTTAGCACAGTATTAATTTATTATAGGACTGACTAGCTGATAAAGATCACTCTGATTCAGCTTAATTCTTTTTAGGCTTCTGGGAATTTTAAATAAATGAAAAAACTAAAGCTAGGATCATGTGTGTCTAGGTTTTCCATCTGTGTCTATCTAACTAGAAAACTTAAGTCAAACCAGAAAATTCCAAAGGCAAGTGAGTAGCTGACAGCTTACATGTCGAAGAACCTTGATGGTGCAAAGTCAGTAGCTTTACTGTAGAGACCTACCTACTTGGAGGAGCAGCAATTTTACCCTAATCAAGAAGGGATGGAGCAGCATAGTGGCTTTCTTAATTCATGAGTGATGGGACAAGTTTGGCCGGAATACCTTGCTTGTTGATAGAGGGGAGCTCTAATGTGTAGTCAGAGGGAATTTCCAAGAACTAACCCAAGGATTCTGTGGCAGAAAGATAGGCAATCTCCTCCTGAACCAATTCCAAAATGTATAGCCTCCCAAAAACTTGCTAGAGGATGAGTCAGTTATGAGTGGGTTTGAACTCAGGTTTCACTTTTTTTGTCTATCTGGAGCCATTTTTAGCCCGAGTTTAAAGAGATTGTGAGTTAATCTTTACAGGAAAAGTGTTCCTAAAAACATTTTAAGTGGGCTTTTAAAATTTCCATTGTCCCATATGTAATTCTCAGCAACATTTTATCAGATTCTGTTATTTTGTAAAGAACCAAATGAGATTCCAAAAGAATATTTGTGGGTAATACACATAAAGCTGACACGTCAAACTTAAATCCTATTTTTCAAGAGAAGTCACCAGAGTAAACTATGATGAGGAATAAAAACATTTTATCTGTGTATTCAGAATCACATACACATTACCTTTACAGTTCAATTTACTATATAGAAATCATTCGGGTTTTATATTTTCCGATAAATTCTGAACTGATTACAATATTTTGGGGGGAAGACTGTTAGTTACATTAAGTCAGTACCTTTTTAGCAAATCAAATGAAAATACATAGGTTCAAACTTCAGATTTATGGCAAACAGTCTTCAAACACAATACAGACATTTTCTGAAAGTCACCACATCAATTCACATGTGAGATCTGCAACTTTTGAACTGTTTCACACTGAACAGCTCTCCAAAGGACATGCTAAAAATTGACATGCCACTTGGTTCAAGGTTGTATTGCCAAGCCGAGAACTCAGAGTTGCACCACCTTTATAAGTTTGGCATTTATGGACCACAACAGCACAACATGTAAAGAAGGCAGGCAACATTTCTACCTCCTCAGTATGGTTAAGTTAAAAAAGAAAAAAAAATTTATGGTCATTTGGAATTTTGCATAAAAACCCACATTATACCCTGGAAAAGTCCAAGAGAATTATTTAACAATGATTAGGGGTCCTAAATCTTATTTTATTAATAGGACCCATGACATTCGAAGGGGTATTAATCAAACGAAAATTATTAAGCACCTACTGGTTTAAAAGACTGAAATTTATTAACAATTCATGATCAATTTTCTTTGCACCTTGAAATCAAGGTGTAAAAACCAGCTGTTAAGTGCATTCCAAACTTCTCTTATGTAGCACAGGTAGAATTTACTGTCCATTGGCACCAAAGTGAAGTCACATTTCCTCTTGGAAGACAGAAATTCCACATCTGAACACAGAGGAAGTTAGGAAAAAATGACCCCTGTTTGTTTTATTACTATTGTGATTGAGATCTAGGATTACTAAGAACTAGCAATGAACAATGCAAATCTCTGACAAGAGCTGCAAGGTTAGGGATACTACTCCTTTCTTTAACCTCCACCACCCACAAAGTTTTAGAATGAAAAGAATGAAAAGTTATCACTAAGCTGGGAAGGGGGGATAACAAACTAAGGGTACAGCTTGAAAGGAAAGGTTATAATCACTGTGATTGAGAAATTGAAAATAAGTGTGCTTTACCCACACCCTCCAACTCTGAACTTAAATTAACACTCCGTGCAAAAAGAGCATTACGTTTCTGAATATTGGTGTAGCCCTTCTTTTAAGTTTTAGTGCTCTGCAGTTTTCTGTCTCTCCTGTCCAGTTTACTGAAAGTATTCAATATAATCTTCCATTTCAGATGAAAGATTTGGAAAGCAAAGATTTACTAAGGTACTCTATGCATTCTATCTATACAGAAACACCTATTATTACAACTGGTTTATGTAGGATTAACATTTTTGGTGTTAATATTGTTAAACATCATGCTGACTGCACATCAACTCTCCATAATGAATCTGAAATTCACAATGATTTACGAAACATTTTACTTAAATTACTAATTAAATAATGAAAATATGTACTGAGCAAACTAAACTTAAATGGGCTATAAAGAAAAATAACTTTCCAAACAGTCCATATACACATCTATTTCAAAACTACCTTTGCTAAGCTAGCCCCTTTCCCCAAAGTTTTAGCCTGAAAAAACAGTAAAATCTACACAAGAAATTTATTGCAATCATACAAGGGTTTACATTAGGTCAAACACAACACACTATGATGCAGTTTTACATTTATTAAACTACAGTTCAAAGCACAAATTTACACATTCTAAATACACTAGACGTATCTAATGAAGTCACACTAGTCTTCCACTGACATTAGATATATCTGGGTGAAAGACATTAACTTTACAAGACTTTTTTTTAAACACGAATCCTTAGTATAAAAACTGTGTACTTTGTATGTAAACGGTTTAATGGGGAACCCAATTAATGGGCTTCCATCTCCACTAAGTCATCCATTTTGTTGCATATTTTATTTTAAATGCTTAGGGGTAGGGCAAGCTGGTAAGTTTAAATGTGAATACATTATCTAAATCTTCCAATAGCCCCAATGAATTATAGTTGAAAGAGATTTTGTCTGGTCCCAAATAGCTATCACTAATGGTTTTATTTCCAAGAGAATTAACAGAATAGGATTGTTCAATTCCTCCCCCGCCCTCCCGCCACTGGAATGTTGACCAGACAAGCTTAACTTGTAACTTCAAGATCTAAAGAAGTGTTGATGATGCCTGCTTAAGCTTCGGTGGAAAAGCTGTTTTCTTGGTTCAACTGAATGCAAGAAGGCACAAAGAAGAAGTTCTTCATCATTGTGTCTGAAGTAATTCCAGCATCTTGCATCTCATACCTACATTAAGAGAAAATGAGCAAAATCCTGTGACTTAGTATAAGCACCTAACGTAAGTACGCTAAAAAGTGAACAACGAAATAAAACTAGTAACAAGTCTTCTAGCAACCTATACACTTGTAACACATATAGTCATTGCAGATTTACTAGAAAATCTAAAATGCCACCCCGTATGTTTTGAGACAAATCACTTCCTTACCAATCACTAAATGACATCATGTAATAAATATCTGGTTTCTGAAAATCATTAAAAGCAGATGGTTCATGTAAAGAATCTGCTCCCATGTTATCAAAGATAAGCCAATCTCCCACATTCAGCTCAGGAAGAAGACAGCATTCCACAATCTGATCAAGCTCATCACAGGATGGACCCCAAAGGCTGCTTGTAAACAGAGGCTCATCTTCCTTGTATTTCTGTAGGAAAAAATGAAAGGCTTTTATTTTTTTTCTTTTAAATATTTACTAACAAACCCAAGATGCATGTCAAATAAACAGTTGCTTATAAATTGTCAAATAGATTTTGAAATAGTGTTACAAAACTTGCCTTGTGAACCTCTGGAATGGTATTTAAGTCCTCAGAAAGTTTACTTGCAAAAGAACCATAAACACCATCATTCATGTAGTACATAAAGGTTGGCTCATCACTTCCGGTTTTCTCTACTGAAATAAAAGGACAAAATAAGACAAACTGATATTGAAATGTCACACACACGTTTCATTTTAATGAACATCTTCCTCACCTTTCTTAACATATTTAAATTGTTTTTTAGAAGATAACATATTGATTTATATGCCTCAAAATAAAGCTTTTAAAGAACCAAAAGCACATCTTAACAATTACAATGACCAATAAACATAAAAAGTCAACAGATAAATGCAAATTGAAGTCACAATGAGCCCACTACACACTAAGAATGAATAAAATGAAATTTTATAGTCAATGAAGGTATTGGTTGAGCAGTGGAACTGGAACCGACTCATAGCTGATCCTCCAATAAGTTTTCAGAGGCGGTAAACTGCCCAGGAGGAGAGGAGACGAGACTGCCCATCCTCCTGAAGAGCAGCTGGTGGATTCAAATCACGTGCTTTTGTTACAGAAATATACTATTAATTTCCCTGCGGAGAGATTTTGACTAAAAAAATGTTCCCACGAACCAACCAGCCTACAAATACAACAAAATACACCACCACAAAAAACCTAAACCACTGGATGAATACACTGAACTCAACTTAATGTTTGCCTTTTACAGCAGTATGTAAGCAGTTTTGAAAATATTTTGGCATTCCTATTTAAACAACTGTGATAAATAGTGACATAAAATAGGTATTTACAGGTGTCTCATTCCCAGAGGAGGAAGTTACAAACAAGGAAAGCAGGAGGAAATCTCCAGAAATCTCAGTGTGTGATCATGGTTTTAGGAGAGACAATCCAAACTTCAGCTGCCAATTAATTCACTGACTGTCTCAAGAGGGTGTTCCAGAGGCTGATTTTGGGGGCATAGATTGCTTACTAGGTAAATCTCTAGTTCTCAGCAGTGAGGCAAACCCATGACTCATCCTTTGGCTTTTAAAATCTCTCTCTCCACTAAAATGAAGGCAGGCTCCTTGGAGAAACAATGGATTTCAATAATAAGGTTGCTTTTAGGTGCCATCTAGTCAACTGTGCTGTAGAGCGATCCTCTGCCAAGCTCAACACTATTGCTGCACACACATCAATCCATCTTACTTATGAAGTCCATTCTCTCGTTCCTGATTCTCTCCCTTTCCCAAGGACTGACCCCTTCTAGAAAAAGGTCCAAAATATGGTTCATTTACCCTTGCCTGTACAGAGCACTTTAGATGGGCTTCTTTCAAGACATTTTTGCTTGTTCATTTTGCAATCTGATGGAGAGGACAGTCAGTCTTTAAACTGACTTTATGACTGCTCTTTAGGACTTTAAAAGAAGTCTCTTACAGCAGATTTTCTTAATGCAAAGTCTTAACTTCTTGGGTGCTGCTGATACCACCAATGTTGATTGTGAATCCAAGTAAAAAGAAGCTATTGACAACATCTATCTCTTCTCCATCTATTATGATGCTACGTATTAGTCTATGCTAAGGATTTCTGTTTTCTTGAGGTTGAGATAAAACCCATTTGAAGGCTGAATTAATTTCTTTTTTCCACTGATTTATTAAGTGCTTCATGTCTTCACTTTTTATAAGTAAGGCTGTGTCATCTGCTTAACGTAGTATGCGGAGTCATCCTCCAATACTGATGCCACAGTGTTTTCTTGTGGTGCATGGACAACAGCTTCTTGGTTTCACAAGAGCACAATCATATGCTGTTTTACTTCTTGTGGAATTATTGTTCCCTTTCTAGTCTGATGGATCTCCTTTTCGGGGGGGGGGGGGAATGATAGGAATAAAAATGGATTTCTTCCAGTTTTTGTGTCCAGATTTTGCATTTGACTACTGAGCACTCTAAGATTGTAATTATTCAAACATGTCAATTGGCATTCCATCAATTCCAGGGGTCTTATTTTTTGCGAGGGACTTAAGTATAGCTTGAGTAGCTTCATTACTGTTGGTTCTTATTCATATGCTATTTCCAGACATGGTTCAGTATCAACCAATTATTTTTTTTTGTGCAATGATAGTGTGTTCCTTCCCTAGTCTCCCCCTCTCACTTACATTTTAGAAATAGGTTTTATTTCCACAATGGTTCTGACAGTGTAGCCTATTGGAGATGCCCATTTATCCTCTCAGGAAGTTCTTGCTTCCTGAATAAATACTTGTGGTGTCACCTTCCATATCCTTTTGACATCTCCAACATTGTTCAAGATTTTACCCGTAGAATCCCTCAGTATTGCAATGTAAGGCTTACACTCATAAGTTCTTTCAGTTTGAAAAATGCTGGGCACATTCTTAATTTTTTGGTTTTCTAATACCAGCTCCTTGGACATTTTCTTTGCTTTTTCTTCTCACACTGCCCTTTTTAAGCTCTCTTCAGCATCTTACCTTTGTTTTGGCTTCTTTACATTCTAGTGCATCAGAATCTCTTACAAGCACCTAATTTGACCTTCTCCTTCTTTCCTGTTGACCTTTTGCTTTCTTCATAAATGACTGAAGATGTCTTTTGCTATCTTCCTATAACTCATCTGTTGGGATGGCAAATGTGACTTTTCATTTTCTTCACCTTCAATCTGAACTTGCATTTCAGTAACTGATGGTTTGAACCATGGTCAGTCCGTGGTCTTTCGTGTTGTTGTATCTAAAATGCACATCACATTTTATATAATGGTTTTATTAGTTTTCTTTTTCCTTTAAAAATTCCCCAGTAGAAGCCAGGAGTCTGAAGTTGCCTAGTTAGGAGGCTCTGACCCATTATTCTGTTTAAGTTTCTTTTCAATATTCATGGCCAACATCTGGCCTCTAAAGTAAAGGCTTTTGGTCTTTCACACACTTGCTAATGAGACTGCACTATTTAACATAACCACATGACCTGATTTTGAAATCAGTCTTGGCATTCAGTCACATCTCTAATCAAATTAACAATTCACCTTTCAACAACGTCTTGGGTCATGTTCCGTTCATCTGTCAATGCCACTGATGAATTTGACAAAATATTTCAAAATACGAAGAGATGAGCCTTTTCAATGAAATCCTCAAGACAAGCCATCAAGAAAAAGGTCATCCACAAGCACTGATTTACATTCCCTTAGTTACTCTGTATTTAGGTCTTCGTATGTGTAAGATTCCTGCGAAATAACCTTGTACCTGCACGTGTTTCCAAGTATCTTTGTTATAACTGTGGCTGGAAAAAATGAGTTATCTTGGCCTTTGAGGTGGTTGAAGAAAAGAAGAGACTAGTGAATGAGCCATGTTCCCTACTGAAGAGACTGGAGTGGAGAACTCAGTTATTATCTTTTAAACTGTGTAAGGTCTTCTACGGCTGCATCCCAATTCTATATTAAAGTTTCAGAGGCCAGTTTTCCTCAAAGTCAACTCAAAAGTATTTCTGTCTACTACTGGAACAAGCACTCTAAGCAAAGATATTCTGCTGCTCCTGAGAAATTGCCAAATTCAGACTGGAATTTTGCATATCTTGTAGAGTGTGTCTAAATATTCTTGCCTAAAACCATGCTTGTCTGCCAGGTAGTCAAAGAGCATCTGACCATCTTTGGTTGACTGCATCTATCTTGTAGTTTCTGGATCTTCGTAACTGGTTCTGTCCCTGCCTGGAGTCATGCAACAACTGTGGTTTTTTTTTCTTTCAAAGCAAGAGGAATACCATCAGAATAAAAGGTTTTGCTCATATCCATTGCAAAGTCTACCATGCTGGCATCTGTCACTAAGGAAATCCAATTTCCCTTGCAAGAATTCTTTTTCATTATGTATCTCCCTTTCTTCTCCAAGAGAAACTCAAGCAACAGAAATGTCTGGCCTTTTCTGACTGCTGATTTTGATTTTGCTTATCCATAAATAACAGTGGCATTCACATGTATATTCAATGTTTGTTTTAAAAAAATCATTTGCAATGAATAAATCATTGATTTGTATGTCAAACTTTCATTTGCTCTCCAGACTCATTTCTGTCAAAAAAATTAATTACCTCCTTCTTTGTTTCCATCTTTTGCATATTAGTCATGTACTGTTAAAGGTTTATGCTCAAATGGCTTTCCTAGCCACTGACTTTGCTTTTACAAAGCATGGTTGAGAATTTTCCCTCAAGATTGGAGGGGATAGGACAATCAAATGCATGGTGGATTCTAAAGTAAAAACACCCACACCTGGTTAATTTTCCAGGAGATTGTGGATTAGACAACAGTAATCTATCAACAGTACAGTATCTGACTCTAGAAGTATTAATAGTTCTATAACTGCGCTCATACTGTCACTGAATCAATCCTGACACAGGATCACCCTCTACCAGGTGTCCTCTTTGTTGGTCCTTGTTATGTAAGAAAGTATGTAAGGTAGCCTATTCTCCCTATAACTCATCTGGGCAAAAGTTGCCTAACAGAAAACAGAAAGCAGAGAGCAATGTTGTTGTTGCTAAGGTAAAAAGTAAAGATAGGTTTATTAGAGAGTTATATCCCAAAGAAAGGGATAGATGGACCTTCCTCCTTGGAAAAAATATGCAAGAGGCCAAATAATGTTCTTTTCATTAAAAACAAACAAAACCTCCAAAACTATCAGAGGACACTTATCTAAACTACACACAATCACACATCCAGAGAGATCCTGAAAGTTTGAAAGAGTGGGAGGGACACTGCCTAACATATTTTGAAAAGCTCTCAGATATGCCCATGGCTGGTTGACAAATACCCACAGTATTATGGCCTGTGAACTATGCTACAGTATTGTACAGTTTCTAATAAAACACTGAATTCCAGATTAAATTTGTTACTAACAGAAACAAACCTTCTAAACTATAACTTACCTCCAGAGGAAAATTTATCCTTTCCAACAACTTTCTTGGCAATGATATTCACTGCAAGTGTAAATGCAGAAGACACATAGTAGCTTCCAGGTTCTGAAATTATTTTAATGCCAGATCCTTCAGGAAAGTAGACATCCAACAAAGGGCTGATAACATGATTAACCTGTGGATTTTAAATCCCGGGTTACAGTTTGAATACTGTATTATATAATTCTCAAAATGAAGAGATTGATATTTACTTTCTAGAACTACATAGCTCCAGTTACAGACTATGAAATTCAGTTACTTAAGAAGTTATCGCCAAGCAACTAAACAGTCATCAAAGTTTATTTTGTGACCAAGAATATACAGAAACTCCAAGAGAAATAATCATGGTGATTAGTTTTTATTATACTCAATTGCTAAAATTATAGGCGTCTCACTCCCTGATTTCAAATCCTACTACACTGCCGTGGTAGTTAAGACAGCATTGTACTGGTACAATGACAGACACATAGATCAATGGAATAGAATTGAGAACCCAGAAATCACCTCATCTATTTATGGTCAACTGATTTTTGACAAGGAGATGAAATCAGTTAAGTGGGAAAATGACAGCCTTTTTAACAAATGGTGTTGGCAAAGTTGGAAAACTATCTGCAGAACACTCAAGCAATATCCACACATCACTCCACATACAAAAACCAACTCAAGGTGGATCATGGACCCAGGATTAAAACCAAGGAATATAAACATTAAAGACAACCTTGGAAGAACCCTAGTAGTCCTAATCCACAACATAAATAGTCTTCCAAGTATCCTGAAAAATCTACAACTTGGAGAAGATAAATAGATGAATGGGACCTTCTAAGAAAGAATCAAATCCCTATGTACATCCAAAAACGTCTCCAACAGGGTAAAAAAGGAAGCTGCAGACTGGGAAAAATTATGTGGTAATGACATGTCAGATAAGGGACTTATATCTAGAATTTATAAAATATTTGAGCATAACAAGATAAATAATCCAAATGAAAAACTGGCACAGGATATGAACAGACACTTCACCGAAGACGACATTCAGATGGCCAAGAAGCACATGAAGAAATGTTCAAAATCCCTAGCTCTAAGAGAGATGCAAATCAAGACAACTATGAGATATCATCTCACCCCAGTAAAGACTAGCAAAATTTAACAGAACAGCAAGCAACAAATGCTGGTGAGGTTGTGGGGAGACTGGAACCCTTATTCACTGTTGGTGGGAGTGTAAAATGGTGCAACCACTGTGGAAAGTGGTGTGGCACTTTCTCAAAAAGTTGCAAAGAGATACCATTTGACCCAGCAATTCCAATACTGGGAATATACCCTAAAGAGACCATAACCAACATCCAGGCAGATACATGCACACCCATGTTTATCGCAGCTTTGTTCACAATATCAACGAGTTGGAAACAACCTAAGTGCCCATCAACAAATGAATGGATAGAGCAGCTCTGGTATAGTCACATAATGGAATAGTACGCTGCATTAAAAACAAGGAACTCATGCAATATTATTCAAAACGAGTGACCCTCGAGGACATTATGCTGAATGAAATATCTCGGTCACAAAAGGACAAACACTGCATAGTGCCACTGCTGTAGAATGGGACTGACATCAGGTTTAGGGTAAGAATGAGAAAAACTGGATGAATTATGTATACTACATTGAAACCAATGAGGGAGAGAACAGTTTAAATGTAATATAAAAGTAATATATTTCAGGACATTATGATTATCCTAAGAAGTCTGGAATGAAGGTTGCAGAGTGGAGTATACTCGGGGTGCGGGGGGATCATATATCGATGAAGGAATTTTTCTTTTACTTTTCAAAGTGAAGAGGGAACTGGGGATGGGGGTAGTGTACTGAGGGAGAGGGTTGGGAGGGGAGAAAAGTGCAACAATGAATGAATGGAAATCCAAAATCTCTCTAAATATTCATTAAAATAAATTTTTTAAAAAAATAGTTTTGAGATATTACAGCATAAGGGGAGCAAAAAGGTGAGGAGTAGGACATGTATTTAGCTATTTCTATTATGAATTCATTTGTACCATCAATACTCCCTAAAAAAAATAGAAACAAGCTGTGGCAGACTCTTAAATAAATCTTCTCATTGCCTATTATTTTCTTAGAATGAAATTTTAAATAAGACTATTACACTCTTTAGCTTCTCTCTATCTGGCATGTCTATTCCATTGTGAAAATCCTAGTCAACATGTCTACCACAAAAACAGCTGAAGGAGAGAATTCTATTATGACCATAACAAAACAAAGTTTACCTCTTCCAACTGAAATTCAGTTCCTGTGAAGCCTCCACCAATATCTAACATGTCCAGCTTGAATCCAAATTCTCCCTAGAGACCAAAAAAGATATTTAAATGCTCTGTCAAACTATAATGGATATATTTTCAAACAAGCTTTTCCCTCCAAGGGTGTGTATTACCATCTTCATCTGTTCAATAAGGTTTTTTAAAAACCAGTTGTTGGTTTTTTTTTTTGTGTGTGTGCGTGTACCGTCAAATCAGATTTGACTGGTACAGGAGGATATTGCGCCTCCTTCTCCGGCAGAGCGTCTGGTGGAGTCGAACCGTGTTCCTCTGGGATTGCAGTGCAGCTTCTTGCCACTAGGCCACCAGAGCTCCCCCAAAACCAGTTGTTTTAAAGCACATTATAACTGATTATATTATACACATAATTATGTTTATACTATTATCCTGATATAGAGAAATCGACTATTCTTTTGTATCTCAGCCACTACAAAATTGTGACTATATCAACTCTGATTACTACTATTAAAGAATAAGATGCGTGTCCTAACATAACAACAAGAAGCCACCAGAGATCACTTACACACACACACACAATTTAATAAGCATCTCTGTGAACAAAGTCACAATAAACATGAATGTGCATAAAAAAAAAAAGATGTGTGTCCTAACAGGTAGAGAAATAAGCAACAGTTAGTTTTAGTAACACACTGACTTAAAAGATTAAAATAATTAAGAACTTACAGCCATGTCAAACACACATCGAGCATCAGATAGAGCGTGTACATATACTTGAGATTCTTTGCAAGCACTTGAAACATGAAATCTGAAAGAAAGAGCGTAGTAAATTTAAAACAACGGTAACTTTTGAGCTCTTTAAAAGAATTTTTGTCAATTACTATTCACCATCTTAACATACTTAAATATTCACCTTTAAGTAATTAACTTGAGAAAAATATTTAAAATATCAGAAATAGTAGCAGTTTCCCAGAATATCCTACGTTTAGGTGTTACTGTACTTCTATAACTAACTGCCGTGGTGCCAAAGTGGAGAAATGCTCAGCTACTAACCCAGTCAGTGGTCAAACCCACTAGTAGCCCCATAGGACATGTAACAATTTATTCCCATTGCTTTGGGAAGTAGCATGAAACCATTCTCGTATCCTATAAAGCAGCTATGAGTTGGAATCAACTAAAAAGCAATGGAATTGGGCCACCAAATCTTCGACATTTAATTTTTTCCGGACAAAATACATCTACTGTGAACTAAACACAAATCAAAATTAATTCAGTATCATTGATCATCTTATTCAAAGCACTTGTGGCTAATCAAATAGTCATATATACATAAATTAAAAAATTGAACAGAAGCTAAATCAATTAAGACTCCATGTAAATATTTAGTTAATGTCAAAAAGACAAATTCTCTCTAATAAAATAAAGTTTAAAATGAATACTCACTTAACTCCAATTATTTGGACATCAAGTTCCTTAGCACATTCCAAGAGATGCCTACAATTCTTCAATGTAGTGCCAAACTTCAGGTTACCCTCTTCACCTCCAATACTATCTTCTGTTGCAATATGTAGTAAGACCCTAAGAGAAGGGGAAGATGATTGGGGCAGAGTTGGTTTACATCATCATCAGCACATGTGAAGCCTGAAGATTGTAGAAGTAGGTTCATTATGTTGCTCCCAGTCCAGCGACGGATGAATCAAGTGAACCTAATGAAAAACAATCCTGTACAGAGAGAAAACTAGCCATTAGGGCCTAAAGCATGAAGCTTACAAGGACGGAAATTTGGAAAATGCAGCAAGTTAAGACTCTGTTGTAGCAGCAAGAGTCGGTTGGGTTCTGTAATGAAAGACATTACTTTCAAATGAAGTCAGTAAGTCCATTTAGAAAAGGCTATATTGCATAGCAATGCCACCACTGTCTTTCAATGTAAATATCAGGATTTTTAAAAACCAAAAATCAAATAGTAAATTCCAAGTTATTTTAAGGGCCTATTTATTAAATAGCATCAACAAGATGGAGTGATAAAATGACTAACAATGGACTTGAGCAGATTCAGATCTGTTGTTCATAGGATCACTAGGAGTTGTACTGGACTCAACAGTACCTAAACAGCACAATTAAGTAGTAAACTACTGATTCAAATTCATTTGGTATTCCACAAATGTGACAACCAAGACTAAATGGAATTCTTGAAATCATACAGACCCTAAAAATGGTAAATATACACAAGGAGTTTTTTTTTTTAAAAAAAAAAAGCCAACTGTTTCTCTGTGAAAGTCCTGATAAATTGCTTAAAAGCAATGTACCAGTTCATATAGCTGTTTTTAGGAATTATCAAGTCTATTTTAGACTATCCATGTAACACAACAGTAATGTCCAACAGATCTTAGGCTGTAATCATTACAGAAGCAGATAATCAAGAAGTCAGTGGTTGGTTTGAACCATCAATATTTCAGTTAGCAACTGGGAACAGTTACGTATTTACCCCCACCCCTTACTTTATCAATAATGGAGAGGAGTTAATGGATTCTGTCCTCAAAGGAGCACAAAATAGCAACTAGTAGTTGTACTTGATTTTTTATAAAAAATGACTCCCTACAATTTTCCAACAAAGTCTTTATCAAAACTAAAGTTTTCCAGATCATAAACCTATCAAGATACTTTTTCTACGAATTCCTAAAAAAGTCAATTACAAAATTCTAGCTATACTAGGAAAATAGAGATGCAATATAAATTCAGAAACTCATTAGAAGAAAGTAATTCTGTACTGATATGCTTTTAGTAATTAAAAAAATCCCTGACAGATTTATTCATGACATCTGTTTCAAGTTTTCACTTATTAAAGAAAATCTTAAACACCAGTAACACAAATAAGGGATGTATGCACGTGCAAGAAAAAGGTCTTCTTGGTCTGAGTGACTTTTGCACTGACTAAGTAAAACCAAGTTATCTAATCTCAGGCTCTGAAAATATACTAAGGACTATTCAAGAACTACAGCCAAGGACAAGGATGGATTAGGTCTTCATTTAGCTGAAAACAAACCTGGCTCTTACTACTTTATCAATAACAAAGAGGATTCATGTTAATGATAAAGACAGCTGTAACAAAGTGTATCCTTTTAAATAAAGATTTTTAAGATTCTCTCTGAAATTATCCTTATCAAAAGTAGAAGACTTCCATGTTCCATGCAGGGGCTTACTTAAATCAAATGTAATACATAACACTGCACTATCATAACTTCTGAGGCTAAAAGACAAACTCAATCCCTAAGTAGTAAAGTAATAGTTCTTTATAATTTTTTCACACTTACTTGGCATTTGGATGATTACGTGCAATTTTCTTCAACTCAATATCATTGTCACATGTCATGATATTAACACCAACTTTTGCTGCATACTTTATTTGAGACACTTGCTTGCAAGGACTTATATAAATAATGTTTTCTGGAGATACACCCAATTCTTGGACTAAAACCATTTCATTCTGTGAAAACAGATTTTTCAAAAAAGATTATCAGCTATAATGCATCATAAGTTTTGTCAATTTTAACAAATAAGTTTATATATTCTTCTAAAGGTATTACTCAACCTGTAGTAAAAATCTCTCAATATTGAAAACAATTACCAACTATTTCATAGTTCAGAATAGAAATAACTTCACTTGCTTAGTTGTAATATTAAGAATGAAGAAAAAGTAAAAGTGCTGGTTAAAGATTTTCAAAGGTTCACCTCACTATCCTTTCTCTTCCACCAGAACACTTGAAAAGTCCATTTTCAGCATTAGACTGCTGCAGGTGGTGCTGTTGGGGGTGGCCGAGTCTGACTTTAGTATGGGAAGTACTCTCTCTTATCCTAGTCCAATGGTTGTTGGTAGTTTGCAAGACCATGTGTCTGCTGCTAAGGTAGCTGGAGAACGGGGTGGGGGTGGGGGGCAATGTAATAACTAGAAAAGCCAACTTATAAGCTAACACAACTGCACACTTCTTTCCCTACTGAGATGGTTAAGTTAAAATGTTGTTTAGTGACACAAGAATAGGAAGAAATACTTACTTTACTGGAACAAGCAAATCCAGTTCCAAGAGCTGCCAAAATCTCAAGTACAGCTGGAGTGGAGTTGCACTTTACTGTGTAGAATGGTTTTATCTGGGCCACTACATTCTGCCACTGACTGTGTTTCTTCACAATCTTCCCAAGATCTCCCACAAAAAAGGCATTTTTTCCTGTCTACAATGGTCATTTATAAAAAGAGATATTAAGCATGATTAAAGAATCACCGAAAATATACAACTTACGAAGGATATCTCACTCTTCTCCACAAATAAGTATGATGATTAGATTTAAAGTAGATTAATCATTGAGAGTTATAAAGCTGGAGTAGTTAATCTACAGCTTTTAAACAAGAATGTAATACATTTCTATTTTCTTTTTAAATTTTTAAATTTGATTTTTCCCTTTGAACAAGACCTTAAACATATTTTCTTCAATGAAAAAAATTTTTTTTCAATTGCTAAGACTTTCAATTTCAGAATCAATTATCTCAATAAGGGTAAGGAATACTTTTATTTCCTCCCATCCTCCTCACCATTTGTTTAAATACAGATTTACTTTGGCAGTTCAAGATATATACTTTAATACAGTTAGGATTACTAGGAACACTAAACAAACACGTTTTCTATCATCATTATATACTGCATCTGAAGACAAGATGGTAAAACAAGATTACTCAGTATTAATTACTATTCAACGTCAGACAACACACAAGTATTATTGAAAAAGCAATTGAGATTATTTGAAAATGATACATTAAGTGGAGGAGAGACATGAATTAACACTTTATAGGTACTATGTGGTAGACTCAAGAGTCTTATGAAAGGAAAGAATTTTTTTCCTTTTAAAATTTTAATGATGTAGGGGAGGGGGGAAATTATGGGATTTATTTATTTTTTTAAAATTTACTATTTTTTTTTTTAAAAGAGGTATCTGGGGAGGGGGTGGGTAGTGAGACAAGTGCAACAATGACTGGAAACCTTAAATCTCTGTAAACTTTCATTAAAATTAATTTTTAAAAAAGGTATCTGAAAAAGATGGGGTAATAAGATACAATGGATGTGAATGATCGCATGAAACAATATGAGTGAAGGAATGTGTAAAATATAATGTATATGGAAAAAAATTTGGGTAGTTGGTAGTGAATATCATTTCATAAGATTATGGAAATTTAAGAAAAACTGTTCACAACTCACACCATAAGGTAAGTATAATGGTATGTACAAAAATAGAAATGCTCATCTACTGATAGAACTGTTAAGTGCACTAATTAACAAAAATGCAGAGGAAAAATTATGAGTACAAGAGCCATGTGCTAATTTAAGAGAGTAACAGACAAAGATCAAGAAAACAAACATGATGAAAGAGCCTAGTACTTAAGTAGTAGGGAAAATAAGAAAACCTCCCAATATCTGAATCTACTACTTTTATCAGATTAACATTTTAGAAACTAACAAAGTGTGATGCTTAAGAAATCAGATAACTAACACTTACCAGGGTATGTTCATTAACATAGTTATCAATAACATTTCCAAGGTTTGTCCCTTCATCCAACACGCCAACGGAGTAGTTTGCATCGTCGATAAATCCTTTCATCTCAGCCGTATTCCACAAAGCCGAAAGTCATAAACCAAGAAAAACAAGAGACGGGCCACCAAGCCTTATGTCTGGGTCCTTAGAATATGCAACAAACTGTCAAAATAAAAAGATTTTTTTATCAAAATTTTTATTTCACTAATCTAATGTTTGAGATGTCTATGTGAGTATGCTGGATGTCTAATCTAGTGATGGATCCTTGCAATCACACTTTCTACTGTCCCTTTAAAGGGATTATGTACATATTTTATGTATTAAAAATACAAGTTAAAGTAATTTTTTGAGAAGGTAAGCACATTTTTATTACAGAACTGTAGAACCAGTCTTTATCATTCACATTTTGTTTTGTGCTTGCTTCATAATATACTTTCAGGAAAGGAAGTTAATGGACTCATCATCTGTAGACACTGAACATAATACTAGCCTCAACATTCCACACACTGCCAGCCCCATCACACAACACTGCAAAATACTGCTCTCTAACAGAGAATAGGAGAAGCTCACATGAGCGGGAATGGGGAAGCAGCATTACAGACAATCTACAGAAACTGGTCCCAACTATAGCACCTTAGCAACAGAGAGCTTCTTTTGAAGTGACTATTTAGGGAATCAGAAGACCTGGTACTGGTTAAGTTATACAGTACCTGTGCAAGTCTCAGTTTCTCTACACACTCAAAAGACTGTTTTTTATCTTAAATACAAATATTCAGACATGTACCCCCTCCCAATAACCAAATCCGCTGCCATATAGTTAACTGACTCAGTGACTAACAGTCTGATGGGTCTCAGAGGCTACAGATCTTTATAGCATACTGCCGACCAGAGGCACTGGTGGATACAAACCAATGGAAATGTGCAGCCTTGAGGTTAGCAAACTAACTCAATACATAAGAGATCCCCCTACACAAAAGGTGCAAGGTATTTGGACATCCTGAAACAATTACTAAGTTAATCTTAGCATGAGGTTTAAGGAAATACTACCTTTTAGGGAATGATTCTTTAACATATTTAGTTGGAAGAACCAATGAGCCAAATATTACTAACAACAGTTTTTAATAGGGAACTCATGCTTAAAATAGCACACAATTTTTTTTAAAAAAAGCTTATATATTATAGGTGGCACACTATTATTGCTAAAGTGAAGAAATTGTAATTATTTCTTAATTTTTTTAAGGGTTTCAAATGTACTTTATTTCTTCAATAATGTCTTATTTTAATGAGTACATAGGGCTTTTCCTCGACATCAATTATAAGTTGATTTTGAAAACAATTCAATATTATACCACTAGCTGATTTGATTATTGATCTCTCCATTCCTTTGGGGTGACTCTGCCAACAGGGGACAAGTTCCATACTATCCCAATTTGTGTTGTTGTGTAAGCCCACATAGCAGCACAGAAAGGAGTTCCAAAAGCTAAGATAGCATTACCATATTTGTCATGGAAATCAGGTACACGTTTCTGGTGGCTTTGTCTTACCATTATTTGCTTAATGCTTCGAACTTGAAGACGACTTACTGCGGTTTTAGAGTACCCTTTTCTTAATATTTTATTCAACTTGCCCACAAAGATACTATTTACCATCTGATACATATTTCAGTGAGACATTCCCTTTTGACTGACATGGTTTGATTTCAAAGACCAAGTCCGTCAGTGAAAATGTGGGTTACTAGAAACTGGAGGACGACCACATAAGATTACAAAATACAAGACTGACTACACATTACAGAACTGTCAAACAGCTCAATGAAGGCGACACACAGTCTTGACCATCACAACCACAGCACTATTTTTGCTTCAAAACCTGGTGGTTTATTACTGTCAGGTGAGTTGTGAAACAGAAAAATGGTCAGAGAGTGCTGAAGAGCAAGAAATGTCAGTTTAAAGATCAAGGTGTAGCTAACCCAAGCCACAGTACTTCCAACTGCTTCATATGCATGTTAAAGTTGGACAACTTTAGGAAGACCAGTGAAGAACTGCTGATTGAGAACTGTGCATCTAAGAGACTGAACAAATTGGTCTTTGAAGAGAAACCAGAGTGTGCTCTCCAGAAGCAAGGATGTCAAGAATTCACTCACATATATTGAGCACATTTATCAGGAGTTATCTGCTGTTGGAGGACATCATGCTTAGAGGAGTAGGGGTTACTGGAAGAAAAACTCTCAATGAGATTAACTGTCCCAGAGGCTACACCAGTGAATTTAAGAACAGCAGAAATTTCAGGATGGTGACGATCAACCAGGGTTTCAACCTGATGTCCACTGAGTCAGTGGAAATAGGAGTTGACTTGAGGGCACCTAACAAACTTTTAAAGGAAAGCTATTTTCTTCACACATTCAGGATATTCAGTATTTACAAACAAAAATACTAGAATAATTTGATCCACAATGTTACCTACTGAATGCTCAGTCTTTGGAGCTTTGGTCCTAATTCGCTGCCACTCAGTTCTAACTCAAAGCAGCCCTTCATCAGACTTCTGGGGCTGTAAATCTTTACAGAAGAGGAGAGGACATCTTTCTCTGGAGGAGCAGTTGGTGGATTTGAACTGCCTACCTGTCGGTTAGCAGTCCAGTATGTTAGGTACTTTACCACCAAGGCTCCTTACTGAGGTCACAGGGATACAGGTGTTTGTATTATCTAATAGGTTTAACTTTAGCCATCTACTAAACAGCTAGAACAAAATAACATTTTCTAATAGTATGTAACATTTTTTCAGTGCTAGGGCCATACATGTAGTGTTAATTCTCTTTTTGTTATTCTCATTTTACAGACACAAATGACAAGGTAATTAAGCAGCTTGGTCACACAGTAAGTAAATGATATGAGGTTAAGTACTCCAGCTCTAGGGATGCTGATTAAATGTTTAAGGCAAAATGGAAAAATCTACTTCAACAATGTAGTTTCTTGGAAAAACACAGTATGCTGTTTTTTCCCCCTTAAATGAATATAAGAAATACAACACAGATCTCCATCATATCCTCATATTCAAGGCAAAATCTCCCAGAGTTCTAATTTAAAGTTGCTAAACTCTCTAGATAACTTATGGTATATAGTATGCCATCAGGTTGGAACTGAGTCATATCTGACTCTCCCGTGGGTTTTCAGAGGCACATTTACAGGAAATCACATTTGTAGGGGATTGTCCTTCCTCCCTCAGAACCCCTGGTAGGTTCACACCACTAGAGGTACCACCTTTTAGTTAGCAATGCAACTCCCTATGGATGACACTTCAGAGCACATTGAGAGTGATCTTGCTTTATGGGCAACCTCTTCTAGTGTACTTTACAGCCTCTGAAAACCAGCTGAAGGGGGTCAGCTAATTTGGTTCTGACTTGATAGCAATGAGTGAGTGACATCTACTAGTGTATCCACTACCATACAAGCACTCTAAGTGTTGTCCAAGTCACTTCTGACTCACGGTGACTCAGAGTCAAGTCAAGGTAGAATTGCACTCCACAGGGTTTTTAATGGCTGGCTTTCTTAACTACACTCATCAGATTTTTCTGAGTAGACTCAAACCATCATCAATCTTTTATTTCATGGCAAACACACTTAACATTCAAATAACTTGGACTCCCCTCCCCAACAAGATACTGCTATCAACTGGGACACAGTCTCTTCCAAGCTCCTCACATCCCTCTTCAGAACAAATCCACCAAACTCCACACCATCTTATAATCTGGAAAATCTTGTAGATGGAAGATTCATTTTAATCAGCTGATGACCAAACTAAAATAACTGTCAAATGTTTTTATTGATATGAGCCAAATACTGGAAGGCATGCTCTGCACTAAAGACATAGCATATCACTTGTGAAGAGGCTATTTTTGAAATGGAAAAGTAACTTCAGGACTGTTTGCAATGTGACAAAATGACTGTGGTAAAATGCATTTGCTTGCTTTACAGTACAAGACTCTTAACACATCTCAAAACACTAAAATGCATGTCTCCAGGCATTGCAGCCAAATCAGAAAACATTCTTAGCTGATCTACCAGAAGGGTTTTGGTCACTTTGGGTGAGCAGCACAACTCCCTCCATACACAACCACCTGAGTTCCCTTCAACACACCAACAGTACACACAACACTTACAAAGCACTACAACTTTATATAAAAAACCCAATACTTAGGAAACTTATGCATGGAAGATACCAAGATAACTTAATAAAGCTTCCACTTTTAAAACAATATATTATTGGTAAAGAAACTGTTTATCCTTTTTCTAGATGCTCACTAAAGGGTTTGAGGTCACCGATTTCTAGCCTAGAGCTCAGACACACAAAGACACTCACAACCCTGACATTCCAAAACCCATTCACTGTCTTCTGATTAGTGCAGACTCATGGCGACCTTCCACTAGGATGCTGAGGTTGTGAATCTTAATGGGAAGAGACTGTCTATATCCCTCCCTCAGAACACTGGTGGGTCTGAACTGCCCTACTTCTAGTTAGCAGTCCAACACTAACATACACTGTCAGGGTTCCTTTAAGCTTCCTAAAGGTAATTAGGTTGTTGTTTTTGTTTGTTTGTTTTGTTTTCTTTTTAAAAAAAAATCCATTGCTACAGGTTAAGATTTGCATCCTGTAATTTCTGCATTACTCAAACCCTAACTCAACTACATATAACCAAAGAAATAGAGCTGTGGTAACATAGCTCATAGCATATTGTGCTGTTAAAAGGCTTTACATCTCTGACCCTTTGAATTCATACCCCTCCACAGTAACAGCAGCTATGCCCCCTGGGAAAGGAAGGTCATTACAAGTTGTGTAAACCAACAAACAAAGTTTTTTTTAAAAAAAAAACATTTCAGTTACTTTCAGGCATTTAAAGTTCCTTTGTGATGATACATGAATTACTTAAAGAAAGAATAATGACCTACGTGTTCTAGGTGTAGCAATGTCATAAGCACTGTGTAAGGAAATTTTATGCCACAGGGTGAAGTGAATTCACTTTAAAATACTGTGAGAAATCAATCTTTCTCCACCATTAAGAATGCACTCAAACCTGGGTGAGTAAACCTTCCCAGTGGTCTAATCCTAGGTAGTCACAACAGACACAGAACAGGCATGGCACCAATTTTTAATACTCTAGAAATTAA